TACACGACGTTACAACCCAGAAGGCAGCCATATTCGTGCTTATATCATACGTTAATTACACAGTAAACATAACTTTACAACTTTTATTTCGCTTGAAATGTATTGCTACAGTTCACAATTCAGATCCAGCATGCATTATTACATGGCTTGCTTTGAGATGACTGCAATCTTAATGTTTCCTCACATGATTCAGTTTTTGAAGTTTGAAGTAGAAGATCCTTCAGTGTCACGACAACAGATTTTTCTACAGACGGGGAAAAAAGTTAACTCGCATTGCGCCTTCTACCTGAATTCCCATGCATCGTACAACGTAGGTGCAAAATACTGGCATGGCTCTCACGATACAGAAGAGAATTCTGAAGAATTATTGCATTACAAAAGCTGAGATGGTTGATTTTGGGGGTGTTATACTGTGTAATCTGGTAGAGACTGAAAGACGCTTCCAATTCGTTCACTGCGTCCATCATGAGGGCGGACACGAGGGTATTGTAGATTGTCAACTTATTTTTGGAGTACTATTGCTCTCAAGGTGAGAAATACGCTATTCTACAATTACATAACACACAATTCGAAGTCGTAGCCACAACATACGCTAGACAAAAACGTAAACATAGCTCTCCGTCATGGTATTTGTAGGAAGTGCTGAGTGTACAATCTCAGGAGATACATTCTGGGGGTCGTAGCCCGAGGTCTCATCATTGGTGTTTTTTTGTTTTTTTTGCGACGATCCCAGTTGGCGGTCCTGTGACCCGCGGTCTGAATGCGATTAACAGCGCTTGTTTAATCCGAAGTCTGTGGGGCCCACATCCACACGCTAAGAGCGAACGTGTGCGAAATACATATAAACTTTTTCTTACATGGATTGGAAATTTCTCTTTGGATGTGGGCCAAGATACGTTAATCTTTACGGTATCTTTACATCTTGTATCTTGGACGCACCTCCAAAGATGCTGTACATTTAGATGTACCTATTATACTCGCCATATTAGAACATGATAGCTCTTCTTAATTCGGTATTTTGCGATCCAATGTATACTTCGTGCCAGTTCGTGATGTTTGTCTTGGAATGGTATTTGATAACAAAACACATGCTTTCAGTACTTCTTACATTACAACATACAAAATAACAGTTTAGCAAGAAGGTATAGGTATGGGCAAACTACTTGACGTGTGATCGACCGTTACTAGCGGTGGAAACTTGGCCACGCCTTGCTCAAAACATTCTTCTCGAGTTGTAGTTCTGGGTGTCAGTTCAAGTCGTTCAGTCTAGTTCATAGTGTGAGTAAAATTGGACTTTGTATTATATGATTTCGTTTTATTAACAAAGGGTTTTTTTTTATAATTTTTTCACCTGGTCACGTGGTACACTTTCCGAGGTCAAATGTGTTTTGAACGACTAGTATCATCGCTGTCAGTTTCCTAGAATTCTGTCGTCACTCACATACCTAATTGTTTGTCCATGTATGGACAGTCTAATCTTGCTGCAGTCTTCTGTCGTGATTCATATATGATACGAAACGTTTCTCAGACTGTGGTTCACAGTTAGGCAGAGGCCCAAAATTTCAGTCTTACCCGTGACGGGGGGGATGGACATTTCTTAACAAACGCGTAAGATAATAGCTGGGAAATATTTTTGAGTAAGACGTTTAGGATAATGTCGGAACTTAAGCGAGACAAATTAACAGTAGGCTGGAGAGAAAAGTGTAAACACTTTTGCTGCTTGGGGTTTTGATAAAAGACGTGACTTCTGTTAGCTTCTGAAGATCCATGGAGTGAATTCAAGACAGGATAACGTAGACACGTCATTTTCCGAAATGTCACATAACTGCAGATATTTTATCACACGCCGCTGAGAATTTTTATTTGAAATTTCTAGAAAATTGTTCAAAACTGGGGCAAAAAATCTCTACGTAAATGCATAATTAAAAAGTTATTCTTGTTGGCATTTCATGTAGGCTTGCTTCCTTCCTATCTCTCCTGGTCCTCATAGGCAATCATATCACACGCAGATTTTACAGAGTTCGTAACCGCTACTCACAGGCAAACACACGGAATCTATCAATACCACTGTTCGGTAATATTTGTTTTACTGTACTGTGTGCGAAAGCCGTTATCACTCGAATACATGGTTTGGTGTAAAAGCATGCAAATACTATTTGAATATCATAATAAATATACAAAATAATATTATAATAAATATAAATAAATGGTTTCTCATTCGCTGTCTCGGGTAACCATAAAATCAATAATGAAACATGGTGAATCAATTTACGTACTTAAATGGTAATATTAAACTAGTTTTATGTAAAACAAACTACTTTCATCTTTTTTATCGCGTTAGACACGCACAAACGACGTGTCATTTCTGTGCGTACGGCTTACATTTCAGATGTTATTGTTAACAGAACTTCAGCTTGTAACTTGTAACGTCATTCATGAAGAAATTTAATTGTGATGTGTCAGAATGATGCTAGAAAGAACATTTTGAGGTGACAGCGTCTTTGTGCTCGTCCGACAGAACTGCCTCCGTCATGTACAAGGGACTTTACGATCGACTTTACGAAGGACTACGAAACCTCTTACCTGAAGTACAAGTTCAAATATCACGAATGTATTTGTGAATTTTCCGCTGTATTTTATTACTTCGTACAGTCCAGTTCAGAAGTGAGGAA